TTTTGTGTCAGAGTGAAACCCTATACTGTTATGTTCCTAGTTAGTAAAATAGTAACACATTTCTCAGAAAGTGTGATGAGAAAAACATTTGTTTAGGATCATATATTTGATATTCTAGGTGTTTGCTGTATCTCCACCATTTGTTAGCAAAGTCATGACAAGGATAGTGGAGGCAGTGGCTGAAGAGATGGCCCGTCTCTATGAGTGTGTTCACAAATTTAGTCCGAATGGTAACGTGCAGGTAAAAAGAGCCGTCACATCTTTATGTAAATGTAGAATATATCTGTCTGTGAAGAGGTGTGATGTATATAAGTTTGTGTGGGCTTTCTATTACTTTCATCCAGGCTTTAGGATTGGAATGGGAGTTAATTAGTGGAGAGAATTCACAATAAAAAGTATGTAACATAACATTAAAGGACAAGGGACCTTTTGGTCCGTGTAGGCTATCCTATCCAATAAATTATAGTCAAAACCAGACTTTATCATTCAAATACTCGTAAGGCTTTCCCTTAAGTTAGCTGCATTTAACACAGAGGTCAACCACCCTGTTTGAAAAGTAAAGCTGTCTTAGCTGAAGATAACTTCTTCCCTACCAAAGTTTATACATGTGTTCTATAGTCTTACCATTCTCCATTAAATATAGAAAAAATTATGATGCATCAACACTATAAATTCCATTAATAGTCTTGAACACCTCAATCAGATCTTCTCTAACTCATCTTTTTTTTTCAAGAGAAAATAAGTTTAAAGGTCTTAACTTATCCTCAAATGGAACTGTTTCCATCACAGGTATCATTCCAGTAGCCCTCTCTTCTGAACCATTTTCATCAATTCAATGTCGTTTTTAAGGTAAAGAGCCCAAGACTGTATGTAGTACTCCGTATGTGGCCTAATCAATGACTTATGCAGTGACATTATAGTTTATTTAGACTTTCATTCAATATTTTTGTTGATATAACCTAAAATCCTACTTACCCTGCTTCTAGCAATAGCATATTGCATGTGTGGCTCAAGAGAATGATTAAACAGAAGACCAAGAATGATATAATTGTTTTACATTACAGATGTGGAGAAAAATGTTTTTGATAAAATAAGGAGAAAAAAACAGCTACAAACATATTTCTATATTTTTTTCATATTATTAAAATCTTAATGTAAGATTAAAACAGAACATTTAAAGAAGTGAACAGAATAGCAGTAATTATTTCATCCTGCTTTTTTTTAATAACTTCATATTTTTTTATAATTATTTGATGTGTCCATCTTGTCCAACACATAGCTAACCTGAAGTGATTGCTCATTAAACTATGGAGAGAAAAAGGATAAAAACAACAGTTATTTATAAACCTTTCATGTTTAGGCCCTAAGTGTTGATCACTTTGTCTCGCTGAACAACAGTGATTTATAATCAGCTGATGGTAAGCAGTAGTTGCAATAACGAGTTTGATTGATTGATCTAACAAAGTTTTTAAACTGAGGTTTTGTACTTAAATACACCAGAGAAAAGTATAGTAAACTGTATGCA